TTCGGGTCATCGAACAATATCCTGCTGATGTAAGAGGTTATCGAACTGTAACTCGTGCGGTACGTTGCCCGAATAGAACACCCATTTCGATAAAATAATTTTATTATTTGCACGTGTTGTTGAATGCTATATCCCTCCATGAGGATTTTGCAAAACAGACTGAATAAATGACAATTAACTTCACAGATGTAACAAGATGGCCGTTATCAATTGTCGATTTCAACAGTCCCTGTTGAAAAACTCTATAGTTGTATCGAAATGATTTTTTCTTTAGTGTGATTCAGTTCGTATGTGAAAGTAGTTGTTTCGAAAGATATAATCTGAAAAAAAAACAGATTGCATCCTATTCAAGTGACACTTTGTGAGATTTTCACTGAATATTTTACAAAAACGCAAACAACCGCAACTCGCATTTAACTATACAGCAGCTTTTCTCAAATGTTTCCATAGTGACCGAATCCTACTTAATTTGTGCTTTATATAATAACAATTTGGATCATATGATCCCAATTGGGAAATATGATCCAAATTGTTATTATATAAAGCAATNCAATGGTGTTTGGACCCCTGATAGCATTTGCTTTTTTCATTTGGTGACCAAAGATGAAAAAAGCGACTGCATCGAAAGACTAGGCAGGGTGCTAATATTCATTTATTAGGCTGTAATCCCCTTTACATTCCGTAATAACGAAAGATTCGAAAGAATGACAATTCAGGCCTGAACATATTTTATGTAAATGTGCGGCACTGGATTACAGGAAGGAAATAATTCACGGAAAATCCAAATTAGGCCTAAAAAATTATGACAAGCATCCAACAAACAATCTGTAGAAACCAGTACAGGGCATATTATTGTTGTTGTGTGTCACGGAATAGATAGGAGAAAAAACGTGGGGACAGTAAAGAGGACTATTTTTCATTATGAAAAATAATGACAATTTATTGGTAATATTATTATTATTATTGAAAACACAATTAGCACATCAGGTTGTAGTGCAAAAAACCTAAATAATTATTTTTTTTGTGGAAAAACGATGTACTGACCAATTTTTTAGCAGGTCTAGAAAATGGTGGAGGTAGTATGTTGGTAAAATTAGACGAAAGTTGCTTATTTGGAGGGAACAGTAAAAATCTTGTCTGAGTTCGCAACTATCTATGGCCGTTTTTGAGACAATTGCAAAAAATAACAAAATTAGCGGATTTCCTGAATTATTTTGGGCTTTTCCATATTTATTATGATCTGGTATGAACCAATTTTCTTTCTTCTCATTTCATCCTCAACTTTTTTTAATGTGGATTCAATTTCAGTTGCCTCCATCTCAGAGATGTCTGAATTTGAAGTCGTGCATCTCCAAATATTCAGCTATTGAATGTATGTTTTTATAGAATTTCGTCAATATATCAGGCCAAACCGTCATCAAAATTCCGTCACTGAAAAATGTATTTCAATAAAATCCAAATTTTCTGTTGCTATCACTTTTTTCACATATTTGATGTTACAATGAAATTCTTATGAAGTAAAGTTTCTGACTTACTGCTTATCCAACTTTATACAAAACTTCCAAAGGAAACTCTTTACAAATATGTGTATCGATGAAGTGCTGATGAGGTAACACGATAGGTATCTATATTACAATTTGTAGCATTCCTATGTGTGATATCTGTTTCAATTTTATAACAAATGTTTGAAATACAAACTGAATAGGAAAGCACATGAAAGCAGTTGTTTTAAAATTTACTTTTTATTTCCTGTAATTCAATGTTCATGTGAAAGTAGTTGTTTCATGATGGTTTTTTCGAGTTTATATCTAGAAGCAACTTCTACGCATAATCTATACTTCTTCGTAAAGAGTTTATTTTGAACTTGGTTGCTTTCTTCCTTCGGAAGTTTTCAAGATTTTTTTTGTGTAAATATGGTGGAGTAGAAAGCCAAAAAGCTCTGCTCCCAAAAACGAATATACCCCTTCCAATTGAATACAAATTTTCTGGTAATTTCACAGAATTTGTGGAGCTGTAGCCATGCAATCCCTGTTTATTGTATCTTTCTCTTCGCTCGATCTTTTCGAAAGATGAACTGAAAAATTTAATTTTGACAGAGCCCCACAGGTGAACGTTGTGGCCATTTTATAGGTCCACTAAATCCTTTCCATTTTCATGGCTGAATACTAGTGAGTGAATCTCTGCAAATCATTCTGCGACCGCAAAATCTGTCAAGAAAATTTGCAACTCTACCCTCGTCACATCATAAAATTATATTACTCTTTTCATTTTCTCAACGAAACTGTCTGATTGGTAATCAACAAAAACTTTTCACCTATTTTACCCCCTTGGGGATGGAAATTCCTGATTCCATTTCTTGATGCTTATTTACGGTATACAAAGAACCTTCCTGCATAGTTCAAGATTCTAGGTTCTGTAGTTTCAGCTGTACGTTAATATAAGAACTGGCAACAGCTATTGATTTATATTTTTACTTTAAAAATACAGTACCTAAAAAAATATGGCCAGCAGCTGCACTAAGTAATGAACAGCTTCGAAAATCGAATTATGTTACCTATAAAGAAATTCGCGGAACTAACACAACTGTCAACGACGTCTGCTCTCACGCGTCTGCCGCGTTCGGGTTACGTTATCGGCAATGGCGCTTTGTTGCTAAGACCGCCCCTCGACCCCGCGCATCATCCACCGTCGTCTTACGGTACAAATTATTTAGTGTAGAAGACCAAGTTTATCTATATTGAATACTGAAAACGACAATTGTATCGATTTTTATAAGAATTTGACAACTTTTGTTTGAAGGTGATTGACAATGTTTCATGATGAATTTCACTAGTTCGGACTTCCATTGTCTACTATATAAAATGATTTGAAATCCCTGAAACAACTAAAAAAGAAGAATTGAAAATGAATAGTTGAAAATAACAATNTTCAGTCGATTGATGGTGGTTGGATTCAGATACTGTCCCGTATGAGTCGGTTTTCGGTATACAGATGTATCCCACTTAGTGTCGGTCCTCTTCACCAAAACGTCTAAGACCCTAGTAGTTCGACAAAATGCCTTAAATTCTTCACAAAAGACTATGTTTTTCCTTGTAATGGTTGAATACAACCATTACAGGAAGTAAGGGAAGGGAAGAACTTGTGTTTTATAACATATATATAATAATCGGACATAGCACTCAAGAAAGTGGCAAACCGTAGACACGTGTTTCGGGCTTTTGGCCCATCATCAGTATGGTGCAGCCAAGTGTAAGGATGGTAGCTACAGCTGCCTCCGTGGTGATTTTGATAGTGTTCTTTTAAACACAAGATCTATCAACTGAAACCACAAATGTGCGGTTGGCTCCTGCTGGTGGCCCCGCGCATTTGTATTTCTATCTTTTGCCCATCCTTACACTTGGCTGCACCATACTGATGATAAGCCAAAAGAAAATTATTAAGAAATAATACTTATCTTTTACGTTTCGGAGGCCAAAATCTGCCTCCGTCTTCAGAAATGGATAAAAATTCGAATATATACGCAGTTATTCCTTTTTTGAGAGCTTATTTCTTTTGTTGCAAAGTACAGTTGAAAAAAAATCAATGCATAATAACGAAGAAACTGTCAAGTACAAAAGTAAATATAAAAACATATAAATAACTACATGTAACCGTATTATAAAAGTCAGTCAAAATAATATAAACAACACAGACAGTCCAAAAGTATTGATCCATAAGTAATAGAAGTATAAATGTAAATAGTTGTAGACTATAAAAAAGTCAATATAATATTAACAACACACACTTTCTCAAGTATTCAAAGCGAAACACTTGAGAGTAAACACTATAACCAAATTTGCTGAACATCTCAGGTTAGTTGATTAGCGAATTCTTGAATGGTGTAACAAGTCCTTTGAAGTAATATTTTTTTCAGCTGTAGAATTAACGACCACTGTACTCTACGCTTTTTTATCTTTAGAACGAGTATTGTGGTTATGTTTTGGAAGAGAGGACTGAAAATTAGATTTATTTTTGTATTTTGTAAACGTATGCACTAGCCTCTAGTACTCTAGTATCTGAGTGCTGACAACCGTGAGAATTTTTAGCTGTTTAAAAGCGTCTCCACGAATCTCGGTACCCTAGCTTAGCTATTATTCTAACAGCATATTTCTGGAAGAGAAATATCGGCAGAAGCACTCATACCCCAGTTGAGAATACCATATCGAAGGTGAGAATGGGAGTTAACAGGATACAATGTTAAGAGTATACTAGAGCTGCAGATATTTGATACATAATGTATCAATACGTTGATTCCATATAAAACAAATTGGTGACCTATGCCTCCGGTTTCAGGGGCTGCCACAGTTATTTGATGGAATCGGCCGATACTTGATGAAAATCCATAACGGATTCAAGAAACACTTTGTTGTGAGATTTTCTCTAAACAGAGAAAAACGCAACACGTGTTTCGTTATATACCTAATAGCTTCCGGGGGGTCTCCTGCTGAAGTTGCGATATCAGAATGCAATCAAACAAATTTAGAAATAATAAGAAAGATGAGACGCTCTGTAGAAGATCGTAGTTTTCAATATCGATTAGTGAAGGCGGCGTTTGCGCACCGAGCAAGCCCCGAATCCAAAATAGATTCGACCGACTCGGGGTGTGTACTACGGCCAAAATCGCCACCGGTTCCGATTGCAAACCTTAACCATACAATTATAATCGAATTAACATGTGAAATCGTCGTTCTGCACGAGTATCAATGTACATATCAACCGTATTTTGTAGAAAATAACCGAACATGGTTAGCTATTCGTTCGTTTCGGTTCTTCAAATATTGACCTAGTAGGTAGCTAGTGTAGGTAGAAGTGAACATGTTGCGTGAAAATCAAAAAGGACTTCTACGGTCCTTCAAGACGTCCCTTGTCGTTGTCGTACTGCTAATGCAAGTACTGCCCGTGTTTCCTGAACAGGATGAGGATATACCGCATAACGAGTAAGTGTTGCCTACTTGAAGACATAGTGCGTGTGACTTCAGTATCGGGGGCCATGTAGTTCGAAGATGGTATTGGTGATTTTGGATCTAACGACGCTGAAATACTAGAATAGATACAAGCTCAGTAGTTTCTTTCGACTTGTTTCCAAAGAAATCTTGACCTAGGTCACAGTACAGTACTGGGTTTTTCTAATATTGTACCATGTATGTATGTGAGATCAGATAAAGATATGCGAAGAATATATTTCCTTACATACTAATTGTATGTATTGAGGTTTTTGTTTTTGAATTCTCAGGTAGTCCCACAGGAGTGGTCCGATAACGAGGTCACACATAGTACTTACATTTGTCGTATGGACAGTCTTACAGTTAACGTAAGAAACATGAAGATATACTCATATAACATTGGATAGTATGATATCAAATATCTCTCCAAATAATATTTGATTCGTCACACAAATTGAAGAGAATTGAGCCACTTTGAAATCACTTTTTTGGAATTGAACGAACATGGAAATACTTGATAGATTCTCTGACGTTACTTCTTTCAACAACCAACTGGGAATTCAACACCTGATTTTACACCTAAAACGATGAAGTACTAATTTGAAAACCATTTCTTCCCTCAATTTCAACTACTGATATAGAAGTAATATTCATTTTGAACAATATCAAAAGTAAGACTACTTTCTTATTCAAACAATGTGAATGATATGTGACCAACATGAAAAAAAAATTACCTGCCATACGTTAGGTTTTTCAGAAACACGTATTTTATACAATCTACTAAGTTTTCCATTCAAAATTAAGACAGTCATGGAGAATACATATGGAACTTTTCGCGTTTATGATAATGGGTAAATATGTTATGAAATTCTTTTCAAAATGTGTTCCAAGGGAAAGTTTGCATGACTATTAGTCTAGGACAACCAAATCATGTTGTTCTTGCATCAAGTGAATTCAAATTCAAATTCAAATCCCCTCCACATACAGTGGAAACCCTCGTGGAGTTCAACCATATTTATTTCAAAGTTAATGATGATAATATTAGTTTTGCAACTGAAATAAGAAATTTAAAATTGTAAATTCAATAAGAGCTTGGATTCTTCATCTCTCTATCCATGTAAGTCTCTAATTTCAAAAAAATAGCATCTGCATGTTCATGATAATTCTATACCCTGAAGCCTTAGTATACTTGTCTCAATTGATTTATTATTGTATGATATTCAGTCCTTGTTTCACTACGTAGATAGAACTGAATGTAGAAACTTCAAAACACGTACTAACTTGACCCCAAAGTATTATACGAGGTCTATTAAGAAATAAGGTGAATACGATGGCTGAGGCATGATTACGGTGTTGTTTTTGGTCAAAAAATTACGAACAAGCAATAACGAGTGAACAGGTGCGTTATTGTGATGCAAAGACTACGAATTATTTTTCCACAATACCGGAAGTTTTCTTCGCATTGCCCCTCGCAAGTGGTGCGTAAGTATATGATAATACTCCTTATTGACCAGACGACTATTGGCAAGAACTCCTAATGCACTACGCCATGGTAATCGAAGGAAACAGCCAGCAAAACTTTGATATTTGATCGAACTTGGCGTGCTTTATATGGTCTGGGTTCTCCTGGGCTCTTCCATTGGGACGATTGGACTTTGGTTTCGATGTTATAACCATATACCCATGATTCGTCACTAGTTATGACTCTTTTAAGCAAATCTGGATCGCCGTTAACGTCACTCAACAATTCCTGAGCGATACTCATGCAACGGTTTTTTGGTAAAAATTCAGCAATTTTGAAACGAACTTCGCTGCCACACGCTCCATGCCCAAAATTACATGGCATGAGCCAACCGATATGCCGACATCCTTAGCAACTTCTCCAATAGTGATTGGACCAGTCTCCATAACAATTTTCATCACTTTCTCAACATTTTCATAGGTTGTGTTCTTGACTAATAGTACTATTTCCATTTTTTACATAAAATTTGATGCAAATTCTCTGAATAATTTTTTTCGATAGCAGCAAATCTCCGAACATGCAATACACTTCTAACTTTCATGCCTCTCGCCAAGAAAGTGAACATGCTAAAGAGCTGGAGCTGTGAACATATCTCCGAGACGAGTCTACCAACATGAAAACAATCTTTGTTTGAAGGTGGTTGACGATGTTTCGTGGTGCATTTCATTGGTTCGGACTTCTATTGTCCAATATGATATAAATTGATTTGAAATCCCTAAAAGAATATGTTAAAAATTAAAAAGATTAGCTGAAAAATAACAATTATATTGAGCAAAAAACCGAAATTACAATGAAAAATAAAAAAAATTGAAATATTAACACGAGATGGAAAATTAAAAAAAATATTAACAAGAAATGAAAATTGAAAAGTTGCTTCACGACGTTTCGATTGTTAGTATCCACAATCGTGGATATCTTTATTCATTAAAGAGCTCTTAAGTTGTTACTTTTCATGTCGATTCTTTTATAAACTTGACCTTTACTCTTGAATATATACACATCTTTTATATCCTCCATTTTAACATAGTTTGTACCCATGCACTATTTATATTTTTATTTCACTTGGTATGTATTACATTTTTTTAAATATGTACTACACAAGTTTTGTCTACAAGATTATGTCTTATGATAATAAAGCAAATTATTATTATTATTATAGGTCATTCGAGTGCTTTCACCTGTTCTCTCTCTTCGCTCAATCGGTTTTAGCGGGGGATGACCGTTTGGCGGAAGTTGGTTGTGTTCCCCTTGATTAGGGAACTGGTGGATTCCACTTCAATTATTATTTCCAAAGCGAGCACAGATGTCGGTGCAATGGCGAAGTTTAGCTCTTTCCTCAAGCGGGCGGGAACTCATATTGATGACGTTGGCGGTTTCACAGTTGTCCTGTTTTCGGTCTGCATTTGGGCATTGTTTTCTCACAGGAAGTGGGAAAAGTCATCAACATGAGTTCCAGCCCGCTAACGGACATTGAGGAATCCTTGTTGAGGAAAGGGCTAAACTTCGCCATTGCAAAAAATTTGTTTGACTCTGATATCGTGCCGTGTTCGATATTGAATAGAAAGGGGACTATTAATACATCCACATTGTATATTAATAGCATACTTTAGGCTTAGATGATACAATAATTTTACGAGACCACTATTGCTCTCTTAATCACCTGTTTCATTCACGATTACTGGACTAAAATTATTACTGAAATCATGCTTTGGTTAAACAAGATAAAATATCCTATCATATTTAACTTTTCTTCTAGTATTCTATATACCAATTCTAGTATTCTATATTCTACATACCACTGATAATGTTTAAATCAGTAATTCAGTTTTGATTGTTTTGCGGTTCAGTAGTCATAATGAGTACGAAAATCTGTTTTGAGGAGAGATATAAATGTACTAGGAAAATAAATATTTTGAATTGAATTCAAAACATTTACCTCTCCCAACATTCTCACATAGCAGAATGTGGAAAAAGAATAACAGTGTTTTGCCAAATATTTATTTTTTGAAGCTGAGTTTATTCTCGTTGGACAGAAGTATTTCAAGATGATTTATTCTCAATCCCAACAATATCACAGTTCTGGAGTTGATTTATTTTACTTAATTGTTTCATCGTGAAAATAATAATATCTGCCCGCTTGGCGATATACAAACTCATATGAGGTTTGAAATGGGTATTTTGTTGATTTTTTGAAATTTGTATATTCCAATTCTTTTACGTTGTAAATATTAGTTTTTGGTTTCCAAGAAAGAATTTTGACGCCAGCTGAAACGGTCGTTGTTTCAAGGAGAGATATACAACTTTTGATAAACTATTGTGACCAAAGAGGTCACCTTAACACATGTCTTTTTATGACAAGTATATGTCACACACGAGCTTTTTTGTTCGTAATTCTGAAAATAAAACATCAAAGTTTGGGAGTTTAGAGGTTCTCCTCTCGTTAGTATGCGAGATCCCTTCTCTCGTAAAAAATAATTTAGAAAGGTTTGTTGGGTAACAGGATCAAATTATCCCAGAAAACAATAATTTTTTTGTCAAGATTTTGTTTCTATTCTAATTCTTTCTTACATCAATGGAAGCAGGTACCACCTTATCAAAATTATGGACGAAGCCATTCGTTTGTTTCATGTCATTGTGTTGTGTTGATCTTAAATATTTTGTTTGCTACAGTGATTTTTTTCTCATATATATCTAATACATTTGATGATTTTCAAATTATTATAATGTTATCATTACTTCTTACAACATTAAAAAACGACAACAGTTATACAGTTTGTGCCAGCTATGTTTTATATAATCCATTGTTACAAAGACCTGAAGATGAATTTGGTTAAATTCGATAAGTTGGCAAGAAAACGAATGTTTTTCTGAGATAATTTGATCCTGTTACTTAAAAAATCTTTTTAAATATATGTTTGGACTCATCAACATAACATCAAGTGGTACCAAGCTTAAATCATCCACAGGTACGAACATTGGTTTAAGAGGAAGTTCGAAGAAGCTGCATAAATGCTGTTCAACGACGCATTCAGTCAAGCTAGCGTAGAGATACGCAACATATGGAAAACTGTAACCAAGCGAAAAAACGGCCAACTTCCGCTAAAACAGTGAAACTGTGAGAGGGAAGAGGGGATTGGTGAAAGCGCTCGAATGACCTATGAATAGTCATCTTTCAGAGGAATAGTTCAGTCATCACCCGAAGACGATTGTGAATACTAACAATCGAAACGTTGTGAAGTAACTTGATTTGAAATTTTTTTTTTTGCTTATTTTTATTGTTTTATTTCTTTTCACTCTGTGGTAATTTTCATCTTTTATCTTGATTATGTTATTTGGTTTTATTGTATTATCATTTTACGTTTTATTGCTTAATATTATTGATATTTAGCTATTCTTTCTAATTTTAGTTGTTCTATCATAGTCCGAATTGGTAAAATTCAGTTTGCGGCTACCTTCATCAGGTAGATAGGCA